GCGGCTTCCAGGGCGGCGGCCGGCGCCTCTGTGGATGCCCTCCGTGTCTGCTGTGGGGGCGGCAGTGCCTGCCGTTGCCCGTAGCTGCTCTTTGCCAGGCCCTGTGGAGGGGCCCTGTGGGCCGTCCAAGTGGTTGGTCAGAGGCCTGACTGGCTCCGTCCGTCTTTCTGGAGGCCCTTCTCCGGGCGGCCCAGCTGTCCGGTGCGCGGCCCTGCATGTTCCAGCTGCGCTGGCTCTGAGCCTGGCCTCCGTCTGAGGCCACGGGGCCTGCATGGGCTCCGCCTTCCCGCACCCCAGCCCCCGGCACACGGTGGCTCGCTGCTCACCCTCGGCTCGCCCGCTCTCGGGCGCTGTCCCGAGCCACCAGCGCGCTGTCCGGCGTCTGACACCCACTGCTGTGTGATTCACCCAGTTTGTAGCTGCTGGTGATGGAGGGTGCGCCCGGGACCCGCCGCCCTGCCGTCATGCACCCGAGTGTCTCCTCATTCCTTTTTGATCTAGAAAACTCTTCCTTTGTCTCCTGTGTTCCCTGCCGCGTTGGCTTTGTGTCCCTTGCGATTTAGCTGCGTTTCAGGGGCTCATTTCTGGTTCCGCCTGTGAGTCCTTCGCCCTCTCTTCCGGTCTTAAGTTGCTTTGCCGCTGAGACAGCCTCACGGTGCGTGTGTCTTTCCGGGCTGTTTCAACGGTCGGGGGCTGCCTGTCCCGTCTTGTCTTCTTCCGTTTCGCTGGACTCAGCCACGAAGCCCTTCCCACATGCTTCTGAGTGAAGCTTGTGCTTTCCTGCACCCCTCGTCAGGGCGCCGGGCCGCTCGCCTTGCTGCCCGTACCGTGTGGCGCTCCCTCTGCCGTGACTGTTTTTGGCTAAGTGGTTCAGACCCCGTGTCTCCTCAGAGGTGTCTCTCTGTTGGAGGGGGAGGCTCTAGACAGGCCAGGGGGAGGAGGCGGGAGTGATCCGCGGGTCATGGACCCGTCGGGGGCGTCGGGATGAGCGCGAGCACACACGCGTCTCCCTGCTGGCCGGGACCAAGGAGAGGCCGCCCCGCAGCCGGCTGTCAGCTTCTGGCCTTCTGCAGTGCAAGGGGCCAGGGCTCCCTGGGGAAGTGGCTGGCTCTGATGGCAGGGCATGCCGTGGAACTAGGTGAGCCCAGGCGACCTTCTGGTACTCCGCCGCAGCCCCCGCAGGCTAGTCCTCCCCTCCCGGGGACTCCGTGTCACCCGGCCAGGGCAGGTGTGGCCATCCCATCAGTGGCTCTCCTCCGGGCCGGCAGTGAGTGAGGGGGTGCCTGAGGTCATGCAGACTCCCAGGCTGGCCGCGGGGACAGTGTCCTGCCGGGACAGAAGGAGCCTTTTTTGTCCTGCCTTCCCAGTGACTGGAGCTCTGTTGCTGGTGTCCTCAGCTGGGCTGGGCAGAGGCTGCCTTTCGCTGCTACACGTCGATCTGTCCTTTCCGTGGCTTTGGGGGCCCCTGCGGAGTGGATTGAACTTGGACAGATGAGAAGGTCAGCAGGGCCCTTTCTGGGATGTGGCCTTTCGGGCTGGGGGGAGGGCAGAGGCGAGCTGGGCGTACGGGCGCGCAGGGGCCCGGCGGGCTCTGGCTGTGCACTGTGCTGGGTGCGGCTTCTCAGCGGAACCCGTGGGGCCGGGTTGTCACTGTGTGTGGTCAGACCTGAAACCAGCGCTGAGCAGAGCGCCGTCCTCTTTCAGACTCTGTGGCCTCCCGGGTCGAGGACAGCTGCAAAGAAGGCCTTGGACGCTGGGCTTCTGGCAGCCCCACAGGAAGGCGCTCTGGGCATTCTGTGGAGACCTGCCCTCCAGAAGTAGCCTCTGCCCGGTGCCCACTCGCTGCCTGCTCGGGACGCCCTGGGCGCCAGCCAGCCTTGTCTCTCCGTGGCCGTGTGCGCGTTGCGTGTCGGTGTGCCGCGGGCCCAAGTCTGTGCTCTGCAGGCGTGCGGCCGGCCTGTGTGTCTGCAGCCCGGTGTCCCGGCCCCGCCGGTTTCTCGCCTCAGCTCGGCGGGGGTCAGGCGAGGGGTGTGTGTCGGCCGCACGAGCTCCTGGGGCAGAGCTGCTGCCCGCCCTGTCAGAAGGGCCATGTGGCGCCACCCTGGGCCTCACCGATGGGTCCTTCCCGAGCCATCTCCTGGGCAGTGGCCTTCATCCCACACGGTGCCCGCAAGGCGCCACTTTGAAAAGGCCATTGAGACACTCCCTCATCTGAGCGGACTTGGCCAGCCCTCGCCTGTAGAAGGAGCAGCTGTTTGTCCCCCCGCCCCCGCCCGCCGTGTCCTCATTGGCTGGTCTCCTGGAGGGAAGGAGGGAGGGAGGAGAGGAAGGAGGGACGGCTGTCCGCTGCCCTGGCTCCCACTTTCGCTGCCGGTCCCTGCACTGCCCCAGCATGCTTGGAGATCCCAGCGGTCTCCCCACAGACCGCGCTCTGCTCAGCCAGCCGCCCAAAGCTGGACTCAGCTGCAAAATGGTGCTTCAGGCTGTTGGCAAAGTGCTCAGGTGAACGGGGCGGGGGCAGTGGGGGCGGTCGGGTGTCCCTAGTCCTGGCCCGAGCTCAGCCTGGGGAACAGTGGCTGTAATTGCTGGCGGCGTGTAGCCGCGGGGCGGGGCGGGGGAGCCCTGGGATTTGGACAGGAACTTTGTTTGGAGCCAGGTTTTCCCTAAATGCCTGCATGTCCTGTTGCTCGTGGCCAGAGCTTGTGCTCCTGGAGGGGGTGCGGCCCTGGAGGGTCTGGGGGAGAACGAGGGGCCCACCAGTGATCTGTCTCCCTCTTTGTGGTTAACCATGTTTGTGACCACGGCAGTCCTGCCTTGCCCTCTCCCAGGCCTACCAGACCAGCATGGTGTCTGTCCGGTTGTCCCAGGTGGGATGACCGGAAACTATCCCTGAGTAGCCTTGTCCGGAGACCTGACAATGGGACTCAGCTGTCCGCTCTAGGGGCTGTTTCTGACAGCTTTTTAAATTGCTTTTTCTGACCTGTGGAGGGGTCTGGAGACACTCGCTCCAGTGCCGGTTCTGTGTCTGTAGAGAAGCTGCTTCGGGCACTGGCAGAGCGAGCGTGGCCTGCTGGCGGGAGGGGAGTGGGAGTGGCGCGCAGCAGCAGGCCAGCCTGCTGGCGGGAGGGGAGTGGGAGTGGCGGGCAGCAGCAGGCCAGCCTGACCCTCGAAGAGGGGCAGTCCTGTGCTGTGCTGGGGGGCTCGGAGGGGCCGCCGGACACTCGGGCTTACAGGAGCCCGTGCCGGAATGGGTCACGGCGTAGACTCAGATCCAGCTTCCTGCGGTATGAACCTCCTGCGTTGGCCTGAGAACAGTGGGTCATCATTTTTAAAATGGAAAGTGAACGTCTCTTGCTTTTCCAGTTCTGTCTTTAATTGTAACCAAGCTAAGCAGGCCTCTTGGTGACTGAGGGGGGAAGCCAAGCCCAGCTGGTGGTCAGCGTGGAGTGACCGAGGTATTCTAGAGCCTGTGTGTGTCTGTGCCCCCGACTAACTGTGGGCACCCCCGGTTTTCACTCTTCTCTTCCACGGGCTCCGTCCCTACAGCCGGTCACCTGCGTGCCACATGGGAGGACTCACAGTGACTTCCGAGTAGAAACCAGAGATCCCACCTGTCAGCTGACCTGAGCTGTCCTTCTGCAATGTTAGCTTGTGAGCTTTGGAACCGTGGGTGCCGGTGTGGCTGCGTGTCCTGTGCGCGTGTGCACGGTGGGAGAGCGAATGCTAAATGGGCTCTGCAGAGGACAGAGGCAACACTGACCCGGCCGGGCGTCGGCGTGCCGCTGCAGGAGACGAGAGGCGCAGGCCGCTCTCACCGGGGTGCCGAGAGGACTTCTCGGGGCGGGTGACGCTTCGGCCGGCGCCAGAGGAAGAGCGCGTCCTTCGCCGATGGAGAAGTGAAAGTCAGCTCCGAGCTCTGAGGCTGGTGGCCACACTGCGGCTCTGGCCGGGGGTCAGACGGGGCGCGGCAGCACCTGACGCGTGTGCACGTTGTGTCCACGGTGTCCGTGTACCTCTCTCAGTCTGCCTTGCCGTCTTCCGTCTTGATGGGTCTCGTTGTGTAGGGACACAGCGGCTTAGGAAAGCTTGGTTGTTTGGGGGCGCTGACCGCCAGGCAGTTAACCCAAGATGAGAAGTGACCTGCGCGTCCCTCTCCCCAGCACCCGGCTGGCCATGGCCTGTGGGGATTTGATGGGGGTCTCAGGGGGGTGTCTTCCCAGCTTTTGGTTTCCAAGGCTGTGCAATAGGAGGGAGTATAGTGACACCAGGGCACTAGGAGTGGCAAGAACGGACGCAGACGGGCACCTCCACGTGTCCGAAGTGGTTTTCGGGCCCCACTCTAGCCCACTGCGTCGGAAACCTGGGGGTCGGGAGTGGTGCCAAGCCCTGGTGTTTTCACTCGGCCCAGGGCTGAGGGTGATGTCTGGTCCTGGTGGGGACCCCGGGTGTGCCCTGACCGTCTGGGTGACAGGGCTGTCTGACGTCCCTGCAGAGCCTGGACTTCGGGCCCGGCTGCCCCATGGGGAGCAGATGGGCCTGTGCACAGGACCCAGGGGGAGCTCCTGCTCCACCCAGCCTGCCACCCCAGACGGCCGTGCCGGTCAGGCCCGGGCCCAGGCACTCCCTCCTGTGTTAGCCTGATGTGGGGAGCGGCGGGCTGTGCCCAGGGCCATGGGGACCCTGCTCGTGCTCTCAGTCCTCAGACGCCCGCTCCGGGGGCCCCTCCTTTCCCAGGCTACCGCCAGCACAGGCTCTGTAGCCGTGCAGCACTTTCTCTGGGGCCTTTGCGCACCATGGGCGCATCGTTCCTGCATCCGCACACGTCCCTCGTAATCCTGCTCCCCCACCCCCGGATCTTTGATCTCCGTCCTGTGAGGCCGCCTCCAGACCGGCTGTGGGGCTGCGCGTCTCACTGCCCACCTCCTCCCACGCGGCGTCTCCGTGCTTCCCTTGACCTCCCACATCTGCCCTGCCTCCTTCACAGCCAGAACCCCGGCTGTCCTGGGATGCCAGTGTCCTGGGAGCACCGCAGGGGCCAGATTGAGAGACAGAAAGCTGAGCAAGGCGGGGGGGGGGGGGGTCCTCTCTCTCTCACCCCCCGCTGGGCGCAGTTTCCCAGCTCTGTGCCTGGGGACCACCAGCCCCTTGCCCCAGCATGGTCAAGACCTTGAGGAGGCATCCCATGTTCCAGACCTGGCAGTTACGAGTTCCTCCTGGAGGGTGGGTCCAGGGCACCCCACATCTGCCTGTGGGGGCCGCCTCTCCGTGGGGAGCGTCAGCACGGGGCCCTCGAGTGTTCCCGGCGCTCCTGGGCAGGTGCGTCTCTCCTGGTGTGTCTGCGTCCCTAGGGGAGACCCCTGCTGTGGCTGTCGGGCGGCGTCATTCTGCGCCCTTGTGTCCCCTTGCTCACACGGGTGGGTTCTGTGGCAGTGCTGGCTCACACGGAGCAGCCCGAGGGGCTTTCCCGGTGGGACCGGTGGTGTGTGTCAGGCCAAGCGTGTGTGGGGTATGGGGACTGCTGCAGAGGTGGTAAAGGTGTCAGGAGCAGGGGACGGTGAGGGGTGAGGACACAGTAGAAGGATGTTCTCCGTGGAGCCTGGGCCCCTCCCAGACGGCTGGTCTGGCCTCGGAGCCCACCCGTTGGACCAGGAGCAGCACACAGGGTTCTGTTGGGAGGTCTCTGTGTGTACCTGTGGCCATGTTCTCCCCGCCCCCCCGCCCCCCAGGGTGCCAGCAGGCCCTGTGGCAGGCCATAGCCTTGTGTCCACCGTCTGGTCCCTTCGCTGCCACCCTGGGGGCCCCAGTGAGCAAGCAGTATAGGGGGAGAGCCAGAGAGGAGGAGCCCGGCCGTGCGACCCCCAGACAGCCTTCTGGGCCCTGGCTGGACAGAGCCTGCTCCAGAGCTCAGTGCCAGTGGGGTGGGGGGCACGGGGTCTTGTGTCCTTCCCCCGTGTGGCCATAGGGACAGGCATCACATGGCCTGTTGCTGCCAGTGGCAGAGGAACGGGGCTGGGCCAGAGCCACTTCTGGCACTCAGAGGGGCCGGATGGTTTGCCGTGGCCAGGACAGAACTTGGGGTGGGAGGGCCCCGTGTGGCAAGGTTTGCAGGACTGCTCCCACACAGGGGCCCTGGCCTGTACCTTTGCGTCAGTGCCCATCATCACTGCCTGCCTGTGGGACTGAAGGAAAGAAGACCCCGTGACCGGGCTGCGCGGAAATCTGCACTGGCTGGCCTGGCAGAGGGCTCGTTCCAGATTGCACAGAGGTCCAGGGCTCCCAGGCCCTCCCTGGATGATGGGGACAGGGGAGCTTGGGGGAAGCAGCTTGGAGAAGTCCAGCTTGGCGGGCCTGGTGTGCACCTGCCTTTTTGCCGCGTTTGTTGTAGAACAGGTGTGGACAGCAGCAGGGGAGAAGGGTGGGGAGGCTGAGGCCTTCTGATCACAGACGTCGCAGCCCACATCCCCTCCAGGACTCCTAGTCTCCCCTGGAAATGGACTTGCCAGCACAAGGGTGCCACACCCTTCCTAAGGCGGAGTCCCCAAGTGGGCCTCTCGTGTGGCCTCAGTGGCATCTTGCCCTGTGCCAGTTCCTGCTGCTGCTCCAGCACCAGCTGCCCATAGGCTGGTTCTGCTGTGTGGTCCTCGCGTCACTTGGTGACACGGCTCCTGGACAGCAGGACGAAGAGGAGGTCAGGCAGCCGTCTTCAGCCCGGGCCCCCACGTGCCGCATCTGCACACGTGTGATAGTAGAGTCCTCTAGACCCAGAAGTCGAGTCCTAGCATGTGTGACGAGCTCAGGGGTGGTCCTGGCCAGGTGTGAGTCTAGGGGAGGCACAGGCAGGGGTGCGCCTAGAGCACAAGTGGGGAGGTGGGGGTCAGATTGGGCCTGGACGCAGCGGAGGGGTGAGCAGGGCAGAACCGGCGCAGGCCGCAGGTGCATCCCGTGGGCCGGCCCCTTGCGTCTGGGCCTGTGGGCACAGATCGTCTTTCCAGGCCACTTCAGGCTTTCTGACAGGACGGCATGCGACTCAGTAGCAGAGACCAGGGTCAGGAGAAGGGCAGGGCGCAGGGAGTGAAATGGCCTGCCCAGCCTCCTGGTGGAGCATCTGAGGGCATGGCAGAGCCCCTGGGCTCCCTGAGCCCTCCCAGGGCCCAGTCTTCCCCTGCGTGCTCTGGGGAAGGTGGGAACCTTGCTGTCTTGGTCCAAGGGACCACAGGGCCCTGAGAGGCGTGTGTCCACACTTGTCCCCAGTGAATGGCCTCCCGCCCAGCCAGAGGGACCCCTGATGTACTCATGCAGGTGTGTGTGTAACAGAGGAAGAGACATTCATGCCCTTGCTCCAGCCGCCCAGGCCGCATGCGGTCCCTCCCTGTCCCCAGGACACTGTGGCCCTGCATGGCATTGGTTACTCCCGGTGGTGCACCAGGAGGCTAAGAACATGTCGCCTTTTAAGGAGAAGATTTGCTGAGAAGCTGATGGAAAACATTTCCCTGGCATTCGGGGAGCATTTTTCCTTCCTGTTTCTCTTAAATAAACCACTAGCAACCATTTCAAAACAGACAAAAAGGACAGGGTCAGGGAGCCACAGAGACATTTTGCCCCACTGGAGTGAGGGCGGGGACAGGGCGCACAAGGAGCTGGGTGCCCTGAGTCCTTAGGACGGCCGTGTCCGGCCCGGCCACCAGTGGGCTGCACCCCAGCTGAGACCCGCAGAGCATTCACATTTGGGCAGCCGGGCTGGACACGGAGGCCAGGGCTGAGCTGGTTTGCTTCTCCTTGCGCGGGCGCTGCAGACCTCGAGGGTGTGAGCGTGTGGGGCCTGGCCAAGTATGGCAGCCCCGAGGCCAGGTCCTCAGCCTGCCTGCCCCCAGCCCCCCAGCCCAGCCAGCACCCCGACCACAGCCTGCCAGGTGTGTGGGCGGCCTCCGGTGCCGCGGGCTCACGGCCATCCCGACAGTAGTGTGCGTGGCTTGGCTGTGGCGCGGGCGTGCTCACTCCTGCCCCTCAGCGCTGTGGAGCACGACAGGGGCTCTGAAGGACGTGTCTGCTGGAACTCCAAGGCCTCCCATCCGTCTCATCCTGTCCCCGGGGGTAGATGGACACGCTTCCCCGGGGCTTCTGCTCCTGGGGCGGGGATGACACCTCCTTGAGAATTTATAGCCAAAGGCGGCCTTTTCTGGTCAGTAGGATGTCCTGACAGCATTGACTTGCGGTTTGTTTCTGCGAGTCGCGCTGGGTCCCCTTGTACCGTTGAAAACGGAGTCGTCCCACGGAGAAGCAGGAGACTCTGCTGTTAGGCACTTTCCTTCGGCTTCTCAAGCTTCCCCCAGGAACTGAATTCTAAACCTCCAGCGGGAGGGGGAGTCCCTGCAGGTACGGGAGGATTACAGCATTGCTCTGAGCTGCTCCCCAGATGGCAGGAGGCCCCCCTGCTCCTCCACGTTGGGCGGTTGCTGCTGGGAAGGGCCATGTCCGCACATGGCCCTCCACGGGATCCAGTGTTCCGGGCCCATTTGCCCAGTATGGGCTCCATTGTGGCGTTCGGTGACTTATGACAGACCCAGCCTGGGCCATGTTCCCAGCCGTGCGCTCTGGGCCACTGTCCTGGCCACTTTTCCCTCTTAGGACACGTTCTACCTTGTTTGGGCAACTAGGCTGCACTCACCGTGGCCCTGGCTCTGGCCTCTGGGCGGCTGGCACGAGGCTGGTCTGGGGCCCAAGGCTCCCCGCCAGGGAGGCCCTTCAGCCCCGAGAACTCTGGCTGATGGGGCATAGGTACTGATGCTTGCAGGATTTGAAGGAAAACAGACGTTTCAAAAATATGTATTTAGTCCTATAAAAATAGCTATAACGAGCCCATTCAGTTTCTGTATGACTGTATTTTTATGGAAAACAACTATTTTTGTAAGCAGAAAAAACTTCTGGTGCAAAGAGGTCATTAGCGTCTCTGTAATGCCTGGTTCACGCCCACTTCCCTGCCCCCACCCGGATCCTGCCCTGTGGGCTTGGGGTGGAGCCCAGGTGAGCAGGGACGGGGCTGTGCAGGGGAGTCCCGGCGCGTCGGCACACAGCGAGGCCTCTTTGAGGCCGGGCAGGGGGATCAGCTGCACAGAAGGATGGGGGGCCTGGGCCAGGGGAGCCCGTCCCTGTGTCCCACCTGGCAGCCCTGCGGGCCCAGGTGTCTGCAGTGTCACGTGGGGGCTGGAGCCTGACTAGTGGGGCTGCCAGCCCACCTCTTCAGTGGGCCCCGAGCCACCTGCCTGTCGTGGCTTCCATGCGTGGCCCTGTGGCATCAGGCCTCTGGCACATGTGTCTGCATCCCACTTTGCCCTCGTGGCGGCGGGGGGCCCAGCCGGTCGGGCCGTGGGCCCCTGACAATGGCAGGGGAGGGCAGAGCAGCTTCCTTCCATTCCTGGTGCCCACTGGGAGCAGAGTCTCCTGGGCTGTCTCAGAAAGAGCCTCTGGTTGTCCCACTGGCAGGGACAGCCCAGCTCGTATTCTGAGACCCAGCTCGTGGCCTCCACGCCTGCTTTGTCACGCAGTGACCCCCGCTGCCTTGTCTCCGGCAGGAAGTCTAAAGCAAAGCCCAACGGAAAGAAGCCCGCCGCGGAGGAGAAGAAGATGTACCTGGAGCCGGAGTACACCAGGTCCAGGATCACCGACGTCGGCTTCAAGGAGCTGGTGGTGCTGCCCCGCGAGATCGACCTCAATGAGTGGCTGGCCAGCAACAGTGCGTGGGGCGCAGGGTTGGGGAGGGTGCCACAGCGGCCGCAGGCCGTCACCTGACCGAGGACTTCCTGGAGCTGGTGGCCAGCCCTCTAGTGTGCTTAGAGCCTCCCCAACACCAGGACCCGTTGCAGGTCCCGGCCAGGCCAGGGACGGGCCACCAGTGCCAGGGAGTGTCTGGAGCGGGTGTGTGGCTGCAGGGCTGGCAGTGCCGAGTTCGTGGGAAGGCTGCGGCCTGTGGGAGGGGCGGGTGGACCTCAACTCCAGCCACTGGGCAGGCCTGGGGCTTGGGGCTCACGGCACGGCTGCCTGCCGCAGCCCTCGCGGAGGGGACTCCATCCGGTTGCCCGCCGGCTCTCTGCCCGGCTTGGTGCTATGCAGACACCTGCCGGGCGCACACGACAGCAGCCGATGGCCGGCGTCCAGGGCCTCTGCTCTGCACTGGGACGTGCGTCTCTGGTCTGTGGTGCGTGCTGGCTTCGTGTGGGTCTGCAGGGCACCGGGCCGCAGAACGGTGCCGCAGTGGTGGTTTCTCATGCCCGGGCCTTCTCTTCTCTTGCAGCCACCACGTTTTTCCACCACGTCAACCTACAGTACAGCACCATCTCAGAGTTCTGCACAGGAGAGGCGTGCCAGACGATGGCCGTGTGCAACACGTGAGTCGCTCACGGCACCCGCAGGTCTCCTCAGCAGGGTCCTGGCTGCGGCGGCCCCTCCTGTCCCTGTGGGGACAGAGCCCAGACGGGAGGCACTCGGTGGTATAGGGTCTGCTGGGATGCGGGGTGCCAGCCGGCCAGAGGCTGGTGGCTGAGCTCCTCGGGGCCGGGGTGTTTCCATAGTACGTGCCTCGGTGGGTTTCCTAAGACCGTGGCACGTCAGGAAGCTACAGGCGCTTCCCTGCTTCGCTGGCTCTCCGGATGCAGGATGGCTTTTCCCGAGAGCTCCTGCTCTGTGTCGAAGGAGTGAGGAGGGGGAGAGCGAGGGACTAGGTGGAGAGGCCACTCGTTGCTTTCTCCATTGGCTGGTTTTGTGGGGCTGGGATGCCTTCTCAGTGAGTTTTCCATGGGCCCAGATGCGTTCGTTTTCTTCCGGAAGCTTGTGCACACTTGTGTCCTCAATAGCCAGGAACCCCAGGGGCTTCGAGGCTCCCCTGGTGGATTGGCGGCTGCTGCTCGGGGCGGGGGCGGGAGAGCCGCTGCACGGCACGGGCTTGCCACTGGCCTCTGATAGCAGAAGGGCTGGACGGCGGCTGCAGACAGAAGGCCAGGTGCTGGGGCTCAGCCTGGGGCTGTTGGGACTGAGGCGACGGCGTGGGAGCCCTTTTCTCACACCTTCTTTTATCGTTAGGGCTGATGCTAGCACGCAGGAGCCGCCAGCCCTGCTGTGAGCACAGTCTGCCGCCCGCCAGGCTCCCAGGCCCAGGCCCAGCTCCAGCTTAGGCAAGCGGAGGTCTCAGCCCCACTAGGCCCCACTAGGCCCCACTCTTGTGGCCCCAGCAGGTCACAGCTCAGGGCCAGGTCCCGTGGGAGCAAATGTAGACAGTGGTTGGCTCTCCACTCTGTCACCCAGAAAGGGCCACTGATGGGAGCCCAGACATTACATGTGTCCCCACTGGCCGCAGCCAGGGATGCCCCTGGGAGGGTGGGGCAGGTGAGCTTGGGGGAGGGAAGTGCCCTCAGCAGAGCAGAGCGCCCTGCTGCAGATGCTGGAGGCCAGCGAGGACTGTGTCCTAGAGCTGTCCTGTGTGTGGCACACTCAGAAGGACGCTGCTGGCTTTGCCTGACCCAGCGGAGTCCGAGGTGGCCCGTAGGGCAGGCAGTGGGGAAGCTCATCTCTGCTCCCAGGCGTCCTTCAGTATCTCCAGGCTTGAGAAGAGACTCCTTGAAAGTGCGTAGAGCTTGGTGTGAGATGGAATCTGGGGAGCCTGCGCCCCGACTTCTCGTTCTTCATGGTTGCAGCCGCCTTCGCGGGGTCTTCAAGGCTTACGGACCTGGCACGCTCTTCCGCCTTCCTAGCAGCTGTTTGACGTCGAATTAGGTGAAGAGAAAAAGGCAGGTTTGCCAGAGGTCCCCGAACTGTGTGCTGCCCCAGGACCAACATGTGTGCCTGGGGCCTGGAGTGGGGCTGAGACCTGTGTCCACCCTGCTGGGCCCTAGACTTGGAAACCAGAGGGTTGTGTTGGAGGCCCAGAAGGTGACAAGAAAGGGCTACATGGAGAATGTGTTTGAAGAAATAATGGCTGGAAGCTTTCCAAGCTTGGCAGACGCTAACATACAATTCAAGAAGCTGAGTGAACTCCAAGTAGGACAGACTGTTGAGTCCAGGCACAGGCGGGTCATAACAAAACTGGGCAAAGAGAAGGCCTTCTCGGAGCAGAGCCAGTCCTCGAGGACATGGGTGAGTGACTGCTGTGCTCGTCGGAACCCTTGGGCCACAAGGAAGCTCTGCCACATTTCTAACGCATTGCAAGTAAAGAGCAATCAGCCCTAGTCCTCCTTCCAGCAAACATGTCCTTCAGGGCTTTGCTGAAATACGGACATTTCTCCGATGGCGGAAGACTTAAAGCATCCGCAGTGGCAGACCTGCTCCTGCAAGGGGTCCCCAAGTGAGGGGACCGGGACCGTCCGTGCAGAACAAGCACCAGGGATGGAAATAGGGACTGTCCCTTTCAAGTGCTTTGAGCCACACTCATGTGATGGGTGACAGCAGAGGAGATGGCGGTGGGCTGGGCTGGAGTGGCGGGAGAGCAGGTGGAGTGTGCATTCCGACGCCGGCGAGCGGCCTCTGGCGAGTTGTGTAGAAGGTGTAGTCAGAGTCGCAGTTGGTAAACTGAAAGGGAAGACGAAAACATAACCCAAAAGAAGGCGGGAAAGAGGAGTTCCAAGGGACGAGAAGCAAAGGGGCCAAACGGTAAACGAAAGATGGTAAAAAATTCAAGCAACCAGAAATTTCCGTAAACGTCAGCGGTACAGAGGCGCTGAGTGCAAGGCAGAGATCGCCGAGTCGTCTGCCCGTCGCGGGGCTGTGCGCCCAGGCCCCCGCTGGGAGCCGGATTCTGCGGACCACACCAGACCCTGTGGCCTGCGAGAGTGTTATCGGTAGATCAGGTAGAGAGGTTAACACTCGCGACCGGTGACAGAACGGGACAGTTGCAGCAGCGTGCCGTCGTCAGTCACGTGAGTGCGGTCTCTCTCAGGTCTCCTGCCACGCTGTACCCGCTTTCTCCTGCTGACCGTGTGCCACTGTGAAACGTGGGCGGGGGTGGCGTGGCGGCGTGGCGCCCCCGCACATCACGCTCAGCCTCTGCCGCTGCGCCTGGAGGCGGGGCCGGTCTGCTTCTGGACGGCGCCTGTCGCCAGGAACTGGGACCCAGGAAAGTGAAACCGTGGACAGAGGGGCCCCGCTCTGCAGGAGCGAACTTCTGCCCAGAGCCGCTGCAGAGCTCTCACGAGTCAGCAAGGATGCAGGACGGAGTCGCACCGTCGGCCGGCTGGGCTGCGAGCGTTTCACCGTCGACCACCAAGGCCATGTTCTTCTCAAGCGCACGTGGCGTGAGTGGTCAGCAAAGGAGATCGCATCCCGGTCACAGAACAGGCCTGTACAAACTCGGAAGGGCCAGGGTGCTACTGCGTTCCTTACCTGACCGTCGTGGGGGTGAACTAGAATCAGTCACAGAAATGTAACAGGAAGATCTCCAGATACTTGGGAATGACGCACGGGTCGAGAGGAGTCTCAGAGGGAATTAGAAATGTTTTAAACTGAGCACAAATGAGGATGCAGCGCACCCGAATTTGTGAGACACGGCAGAGCTTTGAGGGGAATCTGTAGGGTTACGTGTTCGTTACAGGAGAAGGATCTCAAATCAGGAACCTCAGCTTCCACGTTAAGAAACTAGAAAAAGAACAATAAACCCAAACTGAGCGGAAGAAAAGAATAATAGAGTAGGAATCACTGAAATTGATCTCTGAAAACAGGAAAATCCATGAAACCAGTAGCCGATTTCTTGAAAAGTTCAGGGAAGTTGATGGATCTTTCGCAAGACGGATGGGTAGAAACGGAGCAGGGTGTCAAGATGAGAATGAAGGGGCCGTCACTGTAGACTCAGCAGATACTAAGCGGATATTAAGGAAATGTACCAAACGTACCAAAAATCCCTGCATACGTAAGTTGGGCAGTTTAAATGGACTGATTCCTTGGTAAGAACAAAAAACAGCAAAATACACTCAATGGGCGGTGCTGCGCTGTCCAGCGAGAAACCAGGAGTAGACGGCGTCCACAGTGGAGAACTAGAAGTGCCCCCGTTACTGTCTACGGCACGGTTGTCTGTGTAGAAAACCCCAAGCAGTGCCCACTTGGAGCCCCAAACTGAGAGAACTGCACCATTTACAACAGCCCCACAGAGGACGAAATGCTCAGGGATAAACCCGGGCCAGCACACACGTGCCCACACGCCGCAATGGGCAAGGGGCCGGGGAGCAGCCGCGGGGAGGCCCGCATAGCCGGGGGGCGCGTGGCCCTTGTGGGCGCCGAGGGTGAGCTCCCTGGGATCCATCTTCTCATTTCCTGCCTCCTCGGTCCGAATCCCGGCAGAGTGTTTGCAGGAGGGGACCAGTCGACTCGGACAGTGCGTGGACGGCCGTGGCCGCTACTGCGGCCGCAGCAGTGCTGAGGAGAGAACCGTGAGGCTGCAGGCCTCCCGCCCCCCGGCTCCAGTCGCGGGCAAGCCGCGGCGATCAGGGGCGCGTGGGGAACAGACACACGGAGCAGGGCGCCATGTAGGCTCCGCAGACAGCCCCGCACGAAGGCGGCCGTCTGGTTTTGATGCAGATTCCAGAGACGCGGTGCAGGAAGGCTGGTCTGTTAAACCAGTGCCCGGAAGACCGCAACTCCAGACACCAGGGAGAGAAAAGTGAGTCTTGACCCAAATCGCACACTTTATGCCAAAATTAGCTTCAAATGGATTCTAAATTGTGAAACCAGAAGACTTTCGGAAGAAAAGGAGGAGATTTTCATGTCCTACGGCTGGGTGAGGAGCTCTTGGCCGTGACACAAGGCCCGCCATCGAGGAGGAAGAGGCAGGAGGCCCGGCACAGTCCGCGGAACTTCGGCTCGGAGGAGGAAGACAGACCGCAGGCCAGTCCCACACCTGGGAGGGCACCGGCGCCCAGCGCGGATGAGGAGCCCTCACAGCAGCAGTGGTCACCGGCGGGCCCGGGCTGGACACACGGGTCAGCAGAGAGGACCAGGGAGGACGGCGTGCCCCGTGCTGGCGGAGCGACGCGCGAGCCTGGCCGACGGCGGCTGGCGGCCTCTTTGGGGCCCAGCACTGCCGATCTGGACTGTTCGTCTGAGACAGGCGAGAGCTTGTGCTCACACAGAGCCCTGCCCGGGAGCACTTAGAGTCGCCTGAGCTGGGGTTGCCCCGGACTGCCAGTGAGCCCGGCATCTTCCGGCAGGTGGACGCCTGGGCACACTGGCCCCTCCGTGCTGGAGGAGGAAGGGCCGCGGGGCGCACACCGAGACGTGGCTGGAGCCGGAGCCCAGCTCAGGATGTCCCGTGGCGTTCCCCAGGGGCCCTCCCTGCTGTGTCGGGGTGGGGTGGGGTACCTGGGCCTGGGTGGGTGAGGCGGAAGGACGCCTGCCGGAGTGCCCTGTGTACTGCGCCATCGCGGAAAAACGAAAACAAGAGGAACGTTGACAGCAGAGTGTCTCGTCTTTCAGACAGAGGGGGCAGTCCTCGTTGTCCCTCAGGAGCTAGTCTCTCTGGGCTGCACGTGGTGGGGACACGTGTCCCCGTTTCTAGCTGCAGTTGTGTTTTCTGGCCCTCTGGCCCCTATGGCCTGGTGCGTCGGCACCTGCCCTCAGTGCAGGGGGATCGGTGGAGCAGGTGTCTGGTGCCCGCCGCAGACATGGACCTCACGGCAGACGTGGGCCTCAGCCCGGCCCCCAAACACCGGGCTCCGCCTCCGGCACAGGGACCCCTCGGGCTGTCCAGAGAGACACAGAAAGGGGCTTTGTCTTCGAGTCCTCAGGTGATCTGAGCAGCCTGTGCTGATGTCTGGGCTGGCGGGAGGAGGGTCCGGCAGAGCCTCCTTGTGGGGGTGGGGTGGGGGCGCTGGGGCAGCTGTCCCAACAGACGGGCGCGCTTCTCCGGGCTTTGTCTCAGCAGCTCCATTGCCCACTTACATTCCTGGACCTTGTGCGGCACCTGGCTCCAGGCTCTTGGGCAGCCGGCCTCCCTGCAGGTGCGCCGCAGTGCCCAGAAGCAGCCTGAGAGCAGGTACAGCAGGAAGGTCTGCCTTCTGCAAAGTCACACCCCAGACCTTCCGCCTCCGAGTGGCAGTTGGGCCGCTTATCCCCTTATCCACGAAGGGCTGGCCCCTCCCTGAGCCTGTCCATTAGTGTGGAGGCTGTGCTTGCCTGGTCTTGCCAGCTGGCCCCACACCCCGCCCGGGGCCAGGCAGAGCGCCTGCTCCTGCTAGACAGAGGTGGGCTTGCTGGAGCAGAGGCGGTGGTGGTAGACTGTCCCGAGGGCCTTGGCCAGGGTCAGGCTGACCGTGGGAAATGGGAACCCCCGCTGTCCTGGGGACAGGTCCGACAGAGTGGTGGGCGTGGGCCAGCCCTCATACCAGGCAGGGGTACTTGGCACACTCAAGAAATCAGGCCAGGGTACTCTGAGCCCACGCGGGGTCCCTGAGCGGGGTGGGATGTGGAGGTTTGGGGGAGCCTAGTCCAAGCTGACTCTGAGGCCAAGTAAAGCCAGGAAGGGAGGGGGCTATGGGGGCTGCGGGACAGAGCGAGACATCTGTGTGGAGCCTGGTGCCCTGTGGCTGCCTGTCACTGGCTGGGGCAGGGGCTGAGAGGGTCGGGGTCTAGGCCTCTCAGTCACTCCCAGGTGCAGCCCCACGCCCACATGCACCACATCCCTCGGCCTCCCTCACCCCCCACCCCGGCTCTCCGCCCTCCTGTGGCTCTGGGTCCAGCCCTTGGTGAGCCAGCCTGCAGGAGCAGAGGGTGGGACAGCAGGGGGGTGGCCAGGTGGGTGCCCACCAGGCGCTTGGGTTCGTTCTGCTGGAGAGAAGAGCACTGGGCAAGGAGGGCCTTCGGCGCTCACACAGTGAGAGCTCCCAGGTATCTCTGCCCACGAGTGCCCCAGCTGTCCTCCCTGAAGACTGGCCGTTGGAGGGCATGGGGTTCCCAAGGGTCGAGGCCCAGCTGACAGGTCAGAGCGGTACCCCCAGAGGAGGAGGGACAGCAGGGAAGAGTGCGCCATCCGTGCCTCTCCACAGCCTAAAAACGCGCGTCCCTCTGAAAGAAGGAGGCGTGCAGCCACGCAGGAGAGAGAACGGACACGCCTGCTGTTGGTGTCTGTACGGCAGGCTCTGTCCTGGACACTGCTCTGAGTCGGTGTGGGCAGCCCCTTGTGGGACACAGCTGGGGGTCTCCAGTGGTGGGGAGCAGTGTGTCTGCCCCTGGGGGCTCTGGGAGGGGGAGCCTGGGCACCTGCTACACCTCCACTGCTGGTGGCCGGGGGAGGGTGGGGCCTGGGTGTCTGCAGGGACAGCGTGACTGATCCCCTCTGCCCCACAGACAGTACTACTGGTACGATGAGCGGGGGAAGAAGGTCAAGTGCACCGCTCCCCAGTACGTCGACTTTGTCATGAGCTCCGTGCAGAAGCTGGTGACGGACGAGGATGTGTTCCCCACGAAATACGGTACGTCTCTGCCCGGCTGCGCTCCTCCCTGCTGGGCGGCTGTGGCTGCCGACACAACAGGGCCAGACCTACGGGCTGGGGGCGGCTGTGTGACCTTGGCTCTGAAGCCGGGCAGGTGGGCTCTGGCAGGGTTAGCCCAGGCTGGGTCAAGACCCCACCCATGCCAGGCTCTGGGAGCTCTGGCCTCTGCCTCCAGCTCCGCCCCCTGTACAGTGGGGCCACTGCAGTCCACTTCTCCGGGGGTCTGAGAGGCGACAAGCAGCAGCCGCCTCGCGTCCCGGCCTGGGCAGGTGCTGCCCTGGGCTCCCGGCCAGTACGGAGCTAACGGACGGTGCTCGGCCAGCAGGAGGCACCCGTGCACCTTGGTTCCGTCCTCGTCTGTGGCCCGGCCATGTAGAGGCCCAAGAGCGTCTGTCAGGGAAGCACATGTGACCCTGGGGCCGAGTCCGAGCTTTGGATGGCCCATGGCAGGGTCACGGGCCCCTCGACGCAGAGGCGGCCCGTCCAGATCTGCAGACACCCGGCTCTCGGGGCCCAGGGGGACAGGTCACTCGGTTGCCTGCCAACGGGCTGCTGAGTGGGGAGGGCGTGGCCACAGGAACCCTCCCGGCCGGTCCTGCCTGCCATCTCCTTCCTGCTGGCGGGAGCTGGGGCCCCCGAGAGGCGCGGTGGACGGCGCGGAGGGCGGGCTGACGCCGCGGGCTCCCCCACAGGCAGAGAATTCCCCAGCTCGTTCGAGGCTCTGGTGAAGAAGATCTGCAAGTACCTGTTTCACGTGCTGGCGCACATCTACTGGTCCCACTTCAAGGAGACGCTGGCCCTCGAGCTGCACGGACACTTGAACACGCTCTACGCCCACTTCATCCTCTTCGCCAGGGAGTTCAACTTGCTCGACCCCAAAGAGACCGCCGTCATGGACGACCTCACGGAGGTGCTGTGCAGCGGCGGGGGCCGCGGCGGGGGCGGGGGGGCCGGGGCCAGCGGCGGGGGTGCGGGGGCACAGAACCACGGGAAGGAGAGGTGAGCCCCCGGCCGGACAGGCGCACACGTGTGCAGAGACGGTGGTGCGTGTGCCTGCGTGTGTGCGCACGCACTGGGCACGCTCGGCGGGAGGCCTGAGAGGTCATCGCTGCCCCCCCCCCCACCTGGCCTGGGCGCGCCGAGAGCGGGCTCCCCAGACGCTGGCAGGCCGCACGTCAGACTGGCTCCCCGCCGGGGTTTTCCTGTTGGATGGACGAGTGCCACTCGTCAAGAAGGACTTTTGGATTTCATTCATTCGCTCAACAAACATTTATGGGACTGCTGGTCTGAGTTTCCTTCTCCTGTGGGGCTTTCCTTTCCTTGGTCTTCCGTGGGGCTCCCGCCCTGCCACCCCGCCCCTGCCCCAGGGACTCTGCTGTTTTGAGAGAAACACGCCAGTGAGAGCTGGGGCCCCTTCCCAGGAGGGACTGGGCTCCATCTGGTTTGTCTCCAGGGTGGAGCTGCTTCAGAGATTCCTCCCGGCCCCTCAGACCTCCCTTTCCTGGCCTTGCTTGGATCTTAGCTGTCGGCGGCTCTGAGCGGGTGGAGGGGTGGCCAGGGGTGCCCCTAGGGGCCCTGACCTGTGGCTGTGCTCCCCTCTCTCCTGTCCCGCTGCTCACGAGGGCCCCTGGACTAGCTGGGCCTAGGACCCAGGTGCCTGGGCGGGTGGCCTGTGTGGAGACGCGGCTGTTGGTGGGAGGCTGGGTGTCCCTGCTCGGCGCACCTGTCCGGTCGTAATAAAAAGAATTCTCTCAGGTTAGCGCCTGTGTGTGTGCTCAGCGTCTCGGCGATCCGTGCTGACGGCACCAGGGCTGGTGCGAGACTGAGGGTGGCCTGGTCGAACAGCTGGGACCATGGCCTGCCTCCTGGCCACCCCGGGCTGGGCTCTTCCTGCCAGGGTCAGCCGCAGGCTGCCCTGCTGACCTGTGTCCTCACTTGGCCTGTGGGGCTCGGGAAACTGAGGGTAAGGGACACCTGTCTTGTTTCCTGCGTTCCAGGGAGCCTTGACCACTCTGCTTGTGCTGTGCCCTCCGTGCAGGTGGCAGGGACCCTAGAGTGTGTGCTGGAGCGGGCTGGGGGGGCCCCGGCCAGCCTGGCCCCGGGGGCTGTGCTGCAGGAGCCAGTCCTGGCCTGGGCACTGTGGTCTGAGGGATGAGCAGAGAGGAAAGAAAGCTCGGGAGCAGGGTGAGTACAGAGGCCGGGTGGGGCGGCACCTAAACCGAAGCCTGGAGCTTTTCTAGGCGCTGTGCGGGCGGAGGAGAGACAAGAGGAGGCTCCAGCAGGGTGTCCCGCCCTCCTACCCCTGACATCTTGCCTGGGGACAGCCGATGGCTGTCGTGCTCACCACCCCCTCAGCACCCACATAGCCCTAAAAGGTGGGGGGCCCTGATCTCTGTCTCCTGACTCACTGAGGCTCCCACACCCTCCCACCCTCAGCCTTCACCCCACTGGGTAGGTCCTGTTTCGGTCCTGCTGCCGCTCATCTGGTCCTTAAGCTCGGCTACTGCCAAGCGTGCTTATGGCCTTCCTCCACTTCCCGGGCCATCACCAGCCCCAGCCCTAGCCGGAGACCAGAGCCCACCCCCCACCTCTGCTTCCCACAACGGGGGTCTTCCCAGCCTGTGGTGGCCCCTGGCCCGCCTGCCTTCTCTGCACTCCTGGTGATGGCTCCTTCTCCTCCTGCCCCCACCTGACAGTCCTGCAGCCAGCCACAAAGTGCAGGCGCCCTGGAGTGCCTTGTCTCCATGTCCTGGCCCCCACCTGTCCCCCAGGGTCCTGCACCATCTCCCCGAGCCTCCCTACCCCAGAGTACCTCCCCTGTTGCTGCACAGTGGTGTGCTGGGGGTGACTTTAAAATCCCCTGGCGCTTCAGCCAGTCTCCACCCCACTGACTCAGTCCCTGGACTGGAGGGCAGACATCACAGTTGTTTCACCGTGACTTTAACGTGCACCGTTCTAGAAGCTTCCACCCACATCGTCTGCTAAACTCACTCATGCTCTGAGCCCTGCAAGAAGGCTCCTGGGCCCTACTGTACCCCTCAGGGCCTGCCGCCGTCTCACTGGAGCTCATGCCTCTGTCCTTGTCTGGTCAGGAGCTCCGGGTCATGGGGAATCCTACTCCCTCTGTCCCCCAGTCACTGGACATTTCCGCATCATCTACGCTGTATCTGTGACCAGGGGTAGGAGACCTCTCCACTGAGGCCAGCAGATGTTAACTCCCGCAGGGGTGGGCTCCTATGACCCGTGCGTGGCACCCCTGCCCCGCTGCTTCCCCAGACGCTGCAGCTGGCTCTGTGGCCGGCAGGGAGGTCACAGCCCCTCCCTGAGCAAGGCCTGTGCCCGATGCCACCTTCAGGTCACCCCGTCCCTGTCATGCTCTCTTCCCATCTGCTGTCTGGGTCTCACTGTGACCTCAGCCTGCTGGGCTGTGTGGGCCCCAGCCCCTCCCCATTCCTCCCCCGCAGGTCCTTCTGCTTCTCTAGGCATGCCCGCCCAAAGTAGAGGCCTCAGGAACTTGACCACAAGCCTGGGTGTCGGAGTCAAAGGTAGGGGTCCTCCTTGACCTGAGGCGCCAGGGAGCACCTCCTGGGGGAAGGCAGAAGGCCAGGGCCTGGCTCCACTGGCCTTTCTGGCCAGAGTCCCAGGCTGGGGGTGGGGAGCAGGCCGGGCAGCCCCTGTGTCCAGTGTGTCTCTAGGAATGGGGTCCGGCTGCTGCGTGTAAGCCTGAGAGCAGTCAGGGGCTCTGTGGCTGGCCGGGACGGGGGGGGGGTGGGCACTGCTGGTGCCAGGAGGACACAGGCATTTCTGGCTCGAGCTGCTTGATGGGGTCTGGATGCAGTGTGCACGCGTGTGCCTGCCCGATCTCTGCAGGTGCTGTCCCGGGTGCCCGCGGTCGGGTTCCTCAGACTCAGGAAAGAGCTGTGGGATCCCCAGGCACATGGGGGTCGTGGGTACAGCGCTGGTCACCGGACCTCAGAGAGCCCCCCGGGAAGGGCCAGGCAGCCAGGGTGAGCAGCAGCCTGCAGGCCTCTGAGGGGAGGGCGATGCCCTGTGCCCCCCACCAGCCAGCGGCTCTCTGCTGCCAGAGCTCGGGCATCCCAGCCGCGTGGGCCGTGGCGAGGCCTTCTGGGTGCACACAGTGCAGTGGCTGCGTGTGGCGCTCCTGGGTCCCGCTGGCGGCTGGGCTCAGTGCTGAGACCCAGCTTCCGGTGAGACCCTCGGGCGTCTCAGCCCCGGCCAGACGACCTGCACCCGCCCCCCCATAAGTTGTTAGCTCCGTCCTGGCAGCCAGGACACAGCACAAGGGCCGGCAGAGGATGGTGGCGGGAGAAAGACCTGGCCACCACAGCCGGGAGAAGGGGCCGTGAGCCAGGGCGCCGCACCTTGAGAAGCTGGAAGGAGGAGGGAATGTTTTTCCGCTTGAGCCTCAAGAGGAGCCAGCCCGGCTGACACGGGCTGGAGCCCAGCGGGACCCACTTCCCACTTCCGGAGCTGGGGGCTAAGCCACTGCCTCTGTGGCGTCCTGCACAGCGGTGACAGGAAACGAATGCAGACTGTGGTCCCGGGAGGGGGGCAGGGGTGGTGCCACCTCAGCCAGCATCTACAAACACAGACGTGGCCTTGGGCGTGAGGCTGGGCGGAGGCTGGAAGGGTTGCGAGGGGCACGGTGGAAAAAGCGCAGGTTTCCTGAAGCAGCTGATCGGTAGGAGGAAGTACGGGGTGTTGGTGACGCCTCGAGCAAAGACTCCTAGACACGGGGCGGCGCGGAGGGGACCTGGCAGAGGCCCCCTGAGGGACGCCTGAAACCGTAGCCAGCACCTGTCTGCAGAAGCAGGAATGGGACGGGCCCTGAGGGCAGGGCCCAGGGGAGTGACGACCGTGTCCATGGGCGCAGAGGAAAGGGGACCCTTAACGTGCAGGGTCACGTGGCGGAAAGCCCCGCTGAGCTCTGCCCCCGGTTCTCAGAGGGCAGGACTCGGGAGCGTCCGCCCGGGTGCGCAGGCAAGGAGCTTGCCGGGCGCAGAGTGGGAGGGGCAGCCTGGTTTCTCGCTGCTCCCAGCAGCGCGGGACGGGAAGCCCACTGGAAGACAGAGCTCGGGAACAAAAGGGACCTGACCCGGAGCGACATGGGAGCTTCGTGGCCAAGCCAAGTGGCAGAAAACGCCAAAATGGATGTTCACTGTCAGAAAAAGTGTGCTCTAGAGAACAGGTCGAGGCCGTCACCGGTCAGGAAGCCGCATGAGCTCCGTGTACTCAGTAGCGCAGACGCCCCGAGGGGACGGCATGTGTGACAAGGAGACGCCCCGTGCATTTTCGCAAAAGCCAGAACAAAAGACGATCTTCCTGTAAGGATCTGGAGGCCCGTCTGGTCTACGGAGCAAATCCCCGTGACACACGCAGGAGACCCACACCGTCCTTGGGGGGCTCACGCCATCGGAGACCCTGCCAGCTGGGACGCCCAGGTCCCTTGGTGAACTTCCTTAGAAGAAAGCGTGGCCCGGAGGGGAGAGCCTGCAGCCACACGGTTCTTCCCAGGCCTTGGCGGCCCCCGTGGCGCTTGCCCGGCCGGACTGTGAAGCTGCCCGGGACCAGTGATGCCCACCTCCCTCACTTGTCTCCCTTTGGGCGTGGGAATGTCTGTCACGGTCGCATCCTGGAAGCGCGTGGTGCTTCTGCTGTCAAAGGAAAGGACTTTGCACTGGGAGGGATCGGACTCGAAGTCTCACCCATACCTGATTGAGGTGACTTAAGTGACCTCTGGGGCTCGACCTGATGCTGCTGTGTGGGGATCCCGGCTCGGCGTGAGTGCGTTTTCCACGCGAGATGAATGGGAACTTGCTAGAGGCCAGTCCGCGCGGGCCAGAATAATGCCCCCTCCAAGTGTCCGCACCCTAGTTCCCCGGATCTGTGAGCACCGCACCTGACGCGCAGAGCGGAGTCAACGTTGCTCATCAGTTTAACTTGAAATGCCGAAAGGATTAGGGCGGGTGTCGTCACCAGGTTCCTTAAAGCCAGAGGAGGGGCAGAAGGGGAACCAGAGAACCAGAGGCGACAGGAGGACTCGGCCCAACGTCCTGGGCTGTGAGGTCGGAGGACGGCCCCACGCCAAGGAACGTGGGTGCCTCTGGAGACTGGGAAGGGCCAGGATTCGGGTTCTCCCCCAGAGCCTCCAGAGGGAACCGGCCCTGCCAACACGGTGACTTTAGCCCCTTGAGACCCAGTCCTTGGCCGCCAGAACTCAAGAGGACAATCTGTGTGTTACGTCTGCTTCGTTAGAGCAACAACTGGAAGCGAACACGTCTTGAGGACGAGCCACAGAACTCTCGTGGGGTGATTCTGGGGGCGCAGGACACGACCCGTGAAGACACTCAGCCCAGGGGCTGACCCCAGGAGGGCTTCGGCAAGCAGCAGGAGCTCCTGGGCCTGGGACCAGCAGCACAGACTGTGCTGTCCCACCTGAGCCCGAGGCCAGCCGCTCCCCGGGCCGGAGGTGCTCCCTCCCTCGCGTGCCTCCATCCCAGCTGCTTTCTCCTCCTCGTCACTGCCCTGACACTCTCGGCCACTGGCCCTCCCCTCTGCTCCCTGCTCACCTCCAGCCTTGATGAACCGCACCGGAAGAAGTTCGGGCTGGTGGTGGGGAGTGGGCTGGACGAAGGACGGGGCTGATGAATGGGGAGGAAAAGCCAGGAGACGGGGGGCACTGGACTTGGTGATTCCACCCCTGGTGACCTGGGGTGAGGGCAGAGGGGACTGGGCCCTGAGCCACAGGGAAAGGGGGAGGGCAGGATGGGGAGGCAGAACCACCACCCAGCGAGGGCCAGGCCACTTCTGGTGCTGAGCTCCCTGGCATGGGGCAGGTGTGAGCGGCATGTGCTACAGCAGCCCCTGCCCAAAGCCGGCCTCGTGACACCAGCAGCCGCTCCCCTCAGCTCAGAGCTGGCAGGGCCCTCTGCCTCCACTGCCAGCTGAGAACTTGGGCACACGCCCCTCGTGTGTGTCTCCACCCTGCTTCTGCCGCCCGTGGCACTCGGCCCCCCAGGGCGGGCACACGTGCCGTCACCTTCCTCCACTGCCTTCCGCCGTGACGCTGGTGGACATGCAACCACTGGTTTGTTCACCAGTACCCCAGGCCAGCAGTGGCCGGCACCCAAAACATGCCAGGGCCTGAGAACATGTCAGTCCTAGAGGCCATCCCCTCACGGGGTGCTGGACCCACCAGCATGCCGTTTTGGGTTAAGTACCCGTTTCCGTTCCTGCCTTACAGAAATACCATGAGGACTGGCTCAGGGTAAAGTGCTCAGGACAGCGGCTGTTACGGAGTTCTCAGGTTGTTATTTTATACATAATACACGTTAGTGGGTGTTATTAATACCAACAGTTTTCGGCTTCACTTGCCTTGGTTTCTGCTTTTTACAACCAAGAGAGAGCTTGGTGTCCGAAGTGGGATTGCGGGGCGGGGCCTTCCTGCCCAAGGGGTGTGATGGCGACAGGTAGAGGCTGGCAAATCTGTGGGCTACACCGAGATGCCCTTTGAGGATTCCTGCCGTGCGGCCCGTCAAGGCCGACACGTTGCCAGTGTTTGTAGAAGGCCGAGCAGCAAAGGTGAGGACTGTGTCAGACGCAGATGCACGACCACTGGTCAGGGAGCCTCCCCCGCGCCAGCAGCCAGGACCCCGGCAGCTCTGTGACCAGCCCACCAGATCCCCTCCTCCAGCTCACAGGGCACCGCGCGGTTCAGGGACCCCAGTGGATCCCATCCCCTCTGCCCCCCTGCAGTACCTTCTGGGCACCCACCCCTCAGAAACAGAGGGCTGCTCTACAGCCCTGCAAGAGCCCACCCAGTTCCACATCCCCAGACTCTTCCTCCCGTCCTGGGCCTGGAGCAGAGCTGGAGGCCGCTGCCGTTGCCACCGAGCTGCCAAGCTTAGCGGGAGTCCGGGCAGCACTGTCCTCCAGCAAGATGGCACAGGAGGTAAGAGTGTGGACTCTAGGGAGGGTTCTGTCCACCAGGGGACACATGGCAACATCGGGAATAGTTGTCACATAGGGCTGGGGGCACTATGGGCATCTAGTTGGGCGGCGCGCAGAGATGCTGCTGATGCCCTACAGGGCGCAGGTCGGCCCCTGCCCCAGAGCCATTCAGCCCCACCGATCAGCGCTGTGGTGGCGGGACCCTGCTCGGGACAGACAGCCGGGTGCAGTTAGGCCCTACTGCCAAAGCCCAGTGGCCACGCTGGGCCTGGTCGCCTTCACACGGGGCAGACAGGGCCTGCGAGGGAGGCGGGTGGCGTGGTTTGCTGCTGCTCGCCTGTCCTCACGGCTGTGTGGTAGGTGGACTCCCAGGTACTCCTGTGTGACATGGGGCTGGGTGACCCTGGGGCTCCCGGAGGTCTGGACTTGTCCTTCATGCTGCAGCAGCAGAGGAGCGGCTGGTCAGTGCACGGTCATGCTGCCTACATGGCTGGCGGGCACGGTGGGCACAGCCGGGACCTTTGCCCTCTGTGGAAGAGGCCGGCCCAAATTCTCCAGCCTATCACCTCCAGGGCTGCGTCACAGCACCCCATCCGCCTCTTACCAAGCAAGGGCAGGAGGAAGGTTCATTCTCTAGATGCCAGCTGACCCCACAAGGTCTGTGGGGTATGACAGCAGACCTGCAGGGGCAGGCAGGGCGGTGCCTCCCTGTGCCCCCTCCCTGGGGGCCTTCCCCGCCTCCAGCCCGGCCCACGATGCCTACTCAGTCTGGAGGCAGAGCCTTGACCCTGCATGGGGGTCTGTCCTCTTCATCCGGGGCAGAAGGTGGCATCGAGCGTCATCCACACCCGGCAGAGCCCAGAGGAGTGTGTTGGGGACAAGAGCTGGTCCCGTTCGTCCCATATCCCGGCCCCACCCGCCTGGATGGAGACGCGTCGGGTGTTTTTACTGAAGGAATTTATTGTTCTTGAACTAAGGGTGCTCACAGTTATTTGACAGGGGTACACTGGGTGGGGCTTGTTCGTTTCCGTGACGTCTGCGTGTGTCCCGAGTACAAAAGAGGAAGGCTGACAAGAGGTATTGCTTTCGGTGTCTTCTGTCTCTGGAGAAGCCCCTCCCACTTGTACCGCGTGGCTTATGCTGCTGTGGGTGTGTGACTGTGTACTGAGTCCCAGCCTGTGGTGGGGTCGGCGTAACAGAAGCATTAAAAGCGATCCACAAGGGGGAGGCAGGGTGGGGAGGGAGGCGGAGGAGACACCAAAAGCAAAGTGGATTCGTTACCGCAAAGGCATGCAATTGGAACCTGCCGGCCGGGCCCCTGTCACCCAGCGCCTCCCGAGGGCAGCCCGGCGCCCGGGCGCTCGCAACACGCGCGGTCAGCGCCGGCCTGGAGGGACCGGACCCACCAACACAAAGCAGCAGAAGCTGGGGACAGGACGAAGCGAGGCGGCCGCATCCCACCACCTCGCTGTGTACAGAGAACACACACTGCGGAGAGTGCCGCTAACTTTCTTTTACTTTTTCCTTTTTTTTTTTTTTAACTTTTTGTCATTTTAGTAAAAAAAACCCTGCGGTGCCTCTGCTGTCCTGTGTGTGGGCGCCAGCTCAGGGCCTTCCTGCTACCCGCACTCTCAGCCACAAAACCCAGATGGTCCCCAGCCTGTGCCGGGCCGCGCGCCCCTGGGCGGTGCCATCCCGCTCCCCCACGGCGCCCCCGGCCCCCGTGGGGCTGGAGTCGTTTCTGCGCAGGGACGGGACAGAACATGGGACAGAGCGAACCGCGCCGTTCCTTAAATATATATGTGCATGTATATAGAAAGACCCGAACACAAAACCTGGCCCTGCCCCAGCGGCTCCCCCCACCCCCACACCCTTTTCCAAAAACAACCAAGAAAAAAAAGTTTATAAAAATATCTTGCAGGAATTCTTTAAAGTTTACAGTAGCTCGCGGGCGCTGCCCCCGCCGGCCTGCCCCCGCCGCCGCCCCCCCGGGCTCTCTGCCGGCTCCAGCCTCCGGGCGCCGCGGCCCCCACCCGGCCCCAGACACGCAGACAGACCGACGGCCGCTGCCCCTTCCCTGAACGGAGGAGTAAGGGACTCAATAAGTTAACGCAGCAAATAAATAATACTGGTCTCGGCCGGCCCTGGCGCAGGCAGGTGGCTCCGGGGCCTCCAGGGTCCGTGTCCACTCAGGCCGGGAAAGGTCGCCAAGCGCGAGCGCACGCGGCAGCCCCAGGCGAGCGGGGGGCGGGGGCGGCGGACGCGAGCGAGCGGCGGGAGGGGCTGCGGCGGGGCGGGGGGTG